GGCCCCCTCCCAGGTCCGGCTGCCTCTGGGCTGGAAGGCTGCTGCTGGCAGTGTGACAGCGAGGGGCTCGCCCCCCCCGTGCAGCCCCTGCCCCGGCTCTGGCAGCCGACCCAGCCAATGTGCTGGAGCTGATGGAAAGGGCTTTGGGGTGACGTGTGTGAGAGGGGATGGGCAGGCCCACCTCCCCTCAGCGAGGCCCAGCAAGGAAATAATGATAATAATATTATTAATAACAATGGTGATACAGTGAATGTGGGCTGTGTGTGTCCCCAGCTTAGCTGGGGAGGAGGAGAAGGGGCTGCAACCAAGCCAGGCTCTCTGGGCAGCCCCAGGGCCCTGGTGTGCAGTGAAGCAGGCAACTGCCTGTGCTTGGTGACCTGGAGGTGGCTCTGCAGGTACCCTGGGGTGCCAGCCCTGGCTGGGATTCAGGGAGGAAGGAGCCTATGATGGAGCTGGGCACTGAAGCAGCAGCTCTGCCAGTGCAACACCTGCACCCTGCTGCCGGGGTGCATAAAACAACTTGAGAGACTTGGAGGATTGGGAAGGTAGCATGCACTAGATTTTTATTTTCAATAGTCAGGTTTGGACAGGGTCTGCTGGCACAGTGGCCGAGTACAGTGTCGATGTGTGGGGTACATCTTCAAGGCCACCTGTAGGGTCTTCACCCCTGCCAAGAGGGGCTCTCAGACTTGCGTGTGTGTCCTGGCTGAGCTGTGGCTGCTCCGCACCAGCTGCTCCCTGGCATGATCAGTTGGTACCTTCCCACCACTCCGTCTGCTCCAGAGGGATTGGGTCAGGGCATCCTGAAACCCTGGCAGGGAGCAGTGCTGGTGGGGTGCTCTGCTTCAAGCTGTCTGATGGAAACGTGGGTCTCAGACAGGGCTGGGAGCAAGGGGAGGATGGTGGGATGGGTGTCCAGGCTGCATCCAGGCAGTGCCTGGCTGGGCCTGGAGTGGGGCTGCCGCGCACAGATGGAAGAGTAATTAAGAATAATAAAAGGAAAGAGACTTGGATTTGCTACAGTCTCAGCACATTAATTGTGCTTTGGGGCCCAAATCATAACGGAGTCCTGCTAGAGGGAATCCAGAAGAGAAACCATATGTCTCGCTCTGTCCAAAACTGACCATTTAAGAGACCCTTGCCTTCATCTGCTGCCAGGTATGACTTCCAGAGTCTCCCAGCTGCCAAAACCCAAGTTCTTGTTTGAAATATTTTTAGGGGAGGAAGCAAAGCTCTGGTGACACTCGGAGTGCTTGTGGTGGGGAGGCAGAGCATGATGCAGCAGGGACAGCACATGGCACCACTTGCTGCTGGAGGTGGAAACATGGGGTTTGTTGGGGCTCTTCTCCCTGCAGAAGTGTTGTGTCCCAGTGAGCTGGTGTGTGTCATCAGACTGGGACACAGCATTTCACTCCTCCTGTGTCCAAGGACCGGGGTGAGTCATGCTGGCAAGCAGAGGTCCTGCCTGTGCTTCCATGCAGACTGAGCATTTCTTCTAAATTGACAAGCAATTACATGGTTAATGGTATCAATGTTAAATCCTCATCATTCAGCAGCCTGAGGCTTAATGCTTCATTAAGGCAAAGGCATCTAATAGCTCTCGGGGCTGGGACCTGCATTTTCTTTAAGCCCAAGTAGAAGTCATCTGTCCAGAGGCTGTTTTTGCTCTCCTGGTCCTACATCCAAACTAAGTCCTTCCAAACTGGAAGTGGGGCAGGGAAACGCTCCCATGCACTCCGTGTTGTGGGGCTGGTTGGATCGAGTCTTGCTGATGTGGCAGAGCTGCCTGGAGCCAATGGGGTATGTGAAAAGCACAGCCAAGATTTCAGACCTGCCATTCCCTGTTCCCAAGATGTCCCCAGGCCTGGAGCTGCCTCTTCCTGCAGCCTGCTGTTCTGCCTGTGTCTCTAACCTTTTTCTCCCCTGTGTTAACCTGCATTTGCCAACGCTGAGTTTCATCTGCTGTGGATGTTCAGCGGTGCCCCTGCTCTCCCAGCACTGAGGATCATGGATGCTTTGGGCTTTCATCTGGCTGCTCACCAGGTGCCTCCTGGATTGCACATCTCTGCTGGAGCAGCACCAGCCTGATCTGTGGCCTTCTGCTGGTACGTCTTCCCCTGGGAAAGCAAAAAACGGAGTGTAAGGATCAGCTCCATCTCTGAGCTTCACACTGAAGCACGATGGAGGAGCCTGCAGTGCCACTGCCTCTGTGTTGGTGGGGACCCTCTGGCCACAGCCCCTCCTGCTTCTGGACCTTCTGCTCAGCAACACGAGTCTGTCCTGTGTATTTATATAAAACCCACCTGGTTTAGCTGTTCGGATGGAATTTTGACTTTTGGAAGCCCAACCAGCTGTGTGGAGCATCCCGCTTGGATTTGGCTTGGCCCATTTTGGATCTATACAGAACGTGGCAGCATGTGTCCTGTTTTCAAGAGGCTGCACTGGAGACGATCACCATGGTTTTTGGAAGTGTTTTACCCTTTTAGCTGCCCTTTTTCATGTTCTCTCTAGTAGCTACTTCATTTTTTTTTCACGCAGTTCCCTTTCAAAGCTGTTTTCTCTCCTCATCATTATGATGATCAGAACAGGAAGAGGCTTCTTGAACAAAGTCCTGCGTGTGAGGCACAGGAGGAAGGATGCTCAGCTGTGTCCCCCTCCTCCATTCCTGTGCTCCAGCTGCCATTCTCCTGTCTTGTTTGGACCTGGAATAATTTTGTCGTATCCAAATACAATGTCTCCTTAGTTGTTCTGGAGGAACTGCTGTCTCCCATTACCGCTGCGTGCTCTACCTTTGCAGGATCTCCTGGTTCCCCACACTCAAGCCATATTACTCTGTAGATTGTTTTGATATAATTATGTTATTACCTTTTAAATAAGACCTTCTGAGGTCTTGCAGGGGCTGGTTTTTACAGACTGCTCTGTTCTCTTTCTTCCCTGCTGTGTTGCAGCATGAATGGTTGAAGTCTGTTTGAGATGGAATAATCCGTGGCTTTGTGCTGGGAAGCTGTTCATGGAACTGCTTTAGGACTGTGACTTGGGACATTATCAGCTTATTTCACCCCAAAATCAGTGCCTCTGGCTCACGAGAACTGTGCTGCCCTGCCTTCTGTTGGAGTTAGCTGCCTGAGAGGGTTTTACGGGGAGTTTTTGCTCAGGCCCCTGGCTCTTATTCATGTTGGGAAGAGCTCGTGCAGGTTTTAAGGGAACGTTCCTCTGGTTTCCCAGGCGTTTGCATCGGGATTTGTGCTGACAGTGCTCCTGTCAAAACGCCCGCCAGCAAATCCCAGATGCCTGGATGTGCAGCTCCATCCAGGGAGCTGCTGGCAGGCGGAACCTGCCGCGGGAGAGGCGATAGCTCAGCGGACGGCCCCGCGGCTTCCTGATTGGTAAAACATTTGCTGGTGTTTCACACGAGAGCCTTGGTTGCGTGGAGGCGCTTGGACGGAGCTGATGGACTTTGAGCCCACATCCCAGCATGATCCAGGCTCGCCTTCCAGCTGGGAGTCCTCGTGGAGGCACCCGAGGGTCCTGCGCTGGAAAAAAGCACAGAGGGAAAGGACCTGGCTCCATCACCAGCCTCTGTCCATCGCCTCCTCGCTGGCACCCGATGGAGTCTGAGGGATTCATCCCCACCAGTCACCCACCTTCCCCAAACCCCAGTTTTCAGGGATGGGAGGCAGGAGTTGAGCTGCAGGAACAACCTGGAACGCCAGGGCTGGGTGTTGGCATTGAGGCTTGGGGTCGGTGTTGGCTGTGCTGGCCAAGTCGTGCTCTCCGCTTCACTGCCTTGTCCCTGTGACATGATCCCTGGAGCTCTGTGATTCTCATGGCACTGCCTTCCCTGAGCCCCCCTCAACAAATGCCATTGCTGTGCTCCTCCCAGGGTTTGTTGCTTCCCATGGTGACTAAATCCCAGTGCCTGGATATGGTAGAATATCGGGATCGTTTGTGTTTGCCGGGATAGATGGAGGTGCTGGCTTGAGAACTGTCCCCCCTTGCCAAACCCACCCACCTCATCTCAACACAGTGTCTGCTGGGTGACAAAGACCCTTTTTTGGGTCCAGAAGTTGTTTTTTTTTTTTAAGTCTGTTTAGCAGAATCTGCTCTTTGGGTGCTTAGTCCCGTAATCCTCAGGTTTGGGTTTTTTCCACCCCCACATTCCCTCTTGCCCTGAGCCATCCCTACCGTGGCAGAGGGCTGGGGGGGGTTCCTGTGTGGTGGCACTGGGAGACGTGTGGCTCCCACGGGATCGAAAGGCTTAAAAATCTGCACCGGCTCAAGCAAAAAGTTAATGTGAATTTAACTGACTTCTGCCCTGCAATTAAAGCCACTCAACCCCGCTGGGGCTCTGAGTTTACATTCTTTACTGAGGCACAGTGTGTAATTATATATGTATAATTTAAACTGTGCATATGCATGTGCTCCTATTATACACCGAGGAGCAAAGGAAATTATCCAGGAATTAAAGGGGGAGGAGGGTGCAGGCGTGGAGAATGGCTCGCTTGTGTGGCTGTGGCAGCGAGGGGAAGCTGGAGGGATCACATCCTCACCCTGCAAACATCTTCTGGAGGTGCAGAAAAGGAGAACCCGGTGTGTTGAACATTTGTGGGGCATGAAGGAGTGGCTGGGGAGGAACAAGCCCCCATGCCAGGAGGTGCCGAGCTCCTGGTGCTGCCTGAGGACAGTGGGTACCTGCTTGATGGTGCTCTTTGAGCTCCCAAAAACTCTCCCTAATATTCCCTCTCTTTTCTTTCAGCCACTTCCAATGGGACACTGGATGGCCTGGAGAACCGGGAAGGAGGAGTGTGCCAGACACGCTCCATGAAGATTGTCATGAAAGTGGGGCAGGGTGAGTCCCCTTCTACCAGGGTGGGTGGAAGCCAGGCTGGTGGTAGCAGTGGGACACTGTGGGCACTGCTGACAGGACACTGTGGCAGGGCAGGGTCTGCTCTGAAGGGAGCTCCCCAACACCTCCTGCCCTGAGCTGCCAGCCCCAGCAACGCCCCAGGCTCGTTCCGGCCCCTGACTCGGATGCGCAGCTCCTGGTGGCTGCTTCTCATTATTGTGTTTTCACTTTGGGGCCAATATTTATCATAAACAGAAGAAGCAGTGCTGCAGCCTTGGCAGGCTGCTTTCCCTTCCCTTTCCGTTCCTCCCGCTGCCTGTGTGAGAAACTCGCCCCAACCCACGCACAGGAGCTCAGAAAACATAAAAGCAGGGTGGGGGGGATTAGGGTGGGAAAGCTGCTTCCCACAGGCTCTGGGGCAGCTCAGCCCTGCTCTGGTGCTCTTGGCATCTCCCATTGCTCCTGCATCTCCTATGCACCCTGTGGAGAGTGGTCGGCTGGGATTATGAGTGTAGTTTGTTATTTAGGTGAGGGAACAAGCTGCTGCTGTCCAGGTTGAATTGAGGTTTCCCATCCATCCCTTTCCTCTCCTCCCCAGATCCAAACGCTGTGATTCCAGAGCAGCTGACGACGAGTCGGCCGAGCAAAGAATCTGACAACACAGTGAAAATCGTCACGCAGAGCCCACGCAGCAAGATCCCACCAGTGGAGGAGCCTGGCAAGCCGGGTGAGTTTTGCCAGGGACACCCCAGGAGAGGGAGGGAGCAAGGGATGGATGGATAGGTGGAAGAACAGGGGCTCTGCCCGCTAGTGGGCTGGAGGTTGCCAGGCCAGGCAGCTCTGAGCATGGATCCCAAGGATACCAGGTGCTCTGGAGCGAGGATCCAGATGGGTTTCCCAGAAGCTCTGCCATCCCTGCTGCTCTCAGCATCTCCTCACTCCATCCCTGCACCCTCTGGCTGGGGACTGCTCGAGGCCCAGCACAGCCAGCCGGGCTGCCGTGTGGAGCAGATCGCGTTTGTTTCCCCAGCTCCGGTATGTCCTGGCAGGAGCTCCACAGGGAAGTGCTGTTTCAGCACTCTCCTCCTCCTCGCTGCCCATCTGTTCCTCGCAGTACATCTGAGAGGGCTTGGAGGAGGTGAGGTCCTCGGCTTTTTGAGCTGAGCCAGTGTGAAAGCACTTTGAAGGTGGTTTCCTGAGTTCCTGACCCTGCTGAGAGAAAAGTGAAATCAGATGAAGTAGGGAAGAGTTGCTCTTTTCTTCTCTCCTGGCACAGCCAGCCAAGCACTCTCCCCTCAGGGGGCTGGGGCTGCCCCAGCCCGGGGGTCAGGAACAGGTGGGGGTCAGTAATTGGATATTGCAGGGCTCCAGGTATCAGAGACCACTTTCACCAGAGCATCCAGGTCTGTCCTGGAGAGCGAAGGCTCCCGGGATCTGGTTGTCATCCGGACACAAGCAGCTCTCAGCTCCATCCGCTGGAGGATGGGAAGGGGGGCAGCAGTGTGGAGTGAGGAGGGGAGGTCTGCAGGGCTCCTGCCTGCCCTGCCCAGAGCGGGCTGCAGTGGATAAAGGCTCAACCTGCGGGGTGTGCGGGTCCCTGCACCGTGGGAGCAAAGCTCTGACCCCCCTCTCCCCTTGCCTCGCAGGCTCTGTCAACCAGGACGGCCAGGAGACCCAAGGTCCTAGCGATGGCTTCTTGAGCTCCAAGGTGGCCGTCTTTGCAGCCATCGGTGCCGGCTGCGTCATCTTCATCCTCATCATCATCTTCCTCGTCGTCCTCCTGATCAAGATCCGCAAGCGGCACCGGAAGCACACGCAGCAACGAGCTGCAGCCTTGTCCCTCAGCACCTTGGCCAGCCCGAAATGCAGCGGGAACGCGGGCTCCGAGCCCAGCGACATCATCATCCCCTTACGGACTACAGAGAACAACTACTGCCCGCACTACGAGAAGGTGAGCGGGGACTACGGGCACCCCGTCTACATTGTCCAGGAGATGCCCCCCCAGAGCCCAGCCAACATTTACTACAAGGTGTGAGGAGCAGCCTGGGCAAGCCGCTGATGCAGGAGCACGGGAGCGCCGAGCG